CAGCTACATGAGCCACAGTCCTAAACCTCGCCCATTTCCCCTCGACATCAGGAGGAGCGGGGGACGATGCCAACCCCAGCTGCAAGCAATGATGAAGTTCTCGCTTGCAACTTTCATCAGCGAGCTGAGACCAGGCCACTATAGGCTTGAATAGGGTCTTGGGTGTACACCCACCACTGGAGTGGAAGAATGGCAGGCGCATCTTACAGATGAAAAGTTAATGGTCAGTGGGTAAATCAGCTCCACGGTAGGTTCTGGTGTCAAGGACATGGGCCTGCATCCGCTGTTCCGTCACTATATAGTCCAGCAGATGTTCTTGCTTGGACCCGGCATGCATCCATGATCTTGTGTGGATGCGCGATTGCCGGAAAAATCTAGCAACCTCCTACCGTTGTTATTGAGCTGATCTAGCCCATGCCTTCTATTCACTCCAGACCAGGTGCCAGCATCATGACCAACTCGGGCATTAAAGTCACCCAATAGGATGACTCTATCTCGAGGAACCACTTTAGCTAGCACCTGTGACAGGAGGTCATACAAGGCATCTGACTCATTGACCTTTCCTGCATCCCTCCACTGATGTTCATCTTTGGTGGAGGCATAAGAAACCACGACCACCACTCCTCGCCTCTGGTTAATAGGAAGGCGAGCCCAAGGTAGCCTGGGGCTTACAACTTCCCACACCTCATCGCCACACTCCCATGCTCCCTTCATGATTTTGTTCAAAAGAAGAGCCACTCCCTGTTGTTTGGCAGTCTTCTGCCCCGAGTAGACGACTGTCCACCCCTAATTGTGGCTGGAGCCAGAGCCGGTCCACCGGACCTCCTGAATGCCAGAGATCCAAGCGGTACCGGTCCAGCTCCCGACAGAGGAGTGGCAGCCTCTCCTCCGCAGTGAGTGTTCTAACATTCCACGTGATCACTTGCAGTGGCTTTTTGCTGTTTCTGAAGGAACCCCGAAAGGTAAGGATTCATTCTCCTGGCTCTGCCAAATGGGGTTTGGCCAGGAGACGTCATAGACGCCTGTCCCCCTGGGGCCTCCGGCACAAGCTTAGTTGTATATATTTTTCGTGGTTTAGTGGTAATTAATTGAAGATTAAGGGGTTACCAGCCCCTCACACCCGTCCAGAGCCCCCTTAGGCTGCTGTGGTGGCTACAAACGCCATGAGGGGAATGGCCAATCGAAATTGGCCCTCCCCCCATGGCACTGCTCACCACAGCGTTACCGTCCGGCACCAATGAAGAGGTAGGAAGTTGTTTTGCTGGACAAAAACACAGACACACACAAACACACAAAATAACGCACAAAAACACACACAAAAACACACTCACAAAAACAGTGGTCAGATTTTACTCTAAACACATACAAAACACACACACACACATGGACAATGGTCCTCCTGCAGGCAGTTCGCTCTTACAAAGCACTTGTAAACATGTAATCTTTGTGTATTATTTTTTCCGGTCATGTTGAAATTCATTAAACGATACATTTTAATTTCAGCTCTCAAGTTGTCAGTTAATGAGACCATTGCAGGCATGTTACGCTTTTAACTTTTAATAATGCGTGTGACATTTTCATAGTTGTGAAAAGCAATTAGCTCATCATCATTGGCCACGTGCTACTCTGTGCACTCACTGACGCAGTGATATCTCCTTCTGCAGAGAACTTGACGCTTTATTTCTGGTTCATTAGCATTTCTCTAAATCACAGGAAGGGAACATTGCTCTAGTTTTCGTTGAATATCAGACCTAATGTATTCCACAAACCGTCGGGTCGATAGCTAATTCATATTTTATATTTCCGTAATTTTTCAAGCGGCATATATATTTTTTATTATATTCGAGCGAAACCGAGTGGGCCTGCACTCGCGCCCTCTTCAGCAATTTGTCTTTTCGAAAATTGCATTACAATCGCGTCCTCGGTGTCACGAGAGGAATAAGTGTCCATTCATAACTCTTTGCAGAGCGGCGCCACCACCCAGTGAGAGTGACCTGGGGCACTGCAATGTCTCTGCGCACCATGCAGGGGCGATGTTGATGGCACGTTGGGCAAACTGAGCGGTGCTTTTTCTCTCTTTCTCTCTCTCTCTCTCAAGAGTTGGCATTTGTAAAATGTGGTGAAAAACGCAATTCAACATCATGGTGTTTTCTTGTGTGCAGTCATTGGTGACTTGGATGAGACCATTAACTCACTGTTGAGACCATCAACAATTAAGAGGACACGCATACACCAAAGCCTCACAATCCGAAAAATATACTCTTCATATTCGTTATTTAATTAAAATCAGTTTTATGCAACGATTAACAAAAAAATATCGCGTTACATTCATAGTTTAAAATGTAATTCACGTTCACAAATTCAACCACGCGTGCTCCTCGAACGGGGGCATTCCTGCCCGCTATTGCAGAGCGGCCGGGTTTGACGGAACCCAAGCCGAGAACGCCCGCCACCATTAATCAACTCATTACAGCGCAGAGGTCGCGTGAGGCCCAAACCCCAAGGTCCACGTCAATTTCCATCAGCACCGCTTCATTTACACGTTTCTCTCTTCAAGGGCGTTTGTAGATGCGTGTGGTTTTCAGTCGGTCTACCCCGTAATTTTCTCATTTGTTCCAGTTTTGTTCTCATCATACACTCGGCCCAATTTTTTCCCACACATTGTTAGAGCATCTCCTGACTCTGGTGGTGTCTGTGTTGATCTTTTACGGAGCACGTGGTTTGATTATTTTTGTATTATTATTATGATCGCAGATGCTGAGCCAAAGCCCAAAGGGCTATAACGTAAAGCATCTCGCAACTAAACGAACTAATAATAGCACAATACATCACGTAAGAATCAACACATTTCTGTCAACCGAGCAAGGTTATGGGAATTTCGGAAAAGAGACGATGGGAAGGAATTAAAAATACCGTAACTTGGAGCACTAATGATCGTAGAATTATATAGGAATTAACGCCCTTCCTGAATTTAGCAAGATTCTGGGAAAAGTGTTGATTGGATGAAGTTCCACAGTGAAGCAATGTGAGGAAAGGAGGAAGGCAGAGGAATGTTGTACTGCACTCCATAATATTGGCAGTTGAACAAAGTGTGGGGGAAATGAAACCGTCAATCTGGGTGACCTGGCCGTTGGCATGGCTGGAGGTAAACTCAACTATAAACAATTTTTATTTTACCAGGTACGGCCTATTATGTAGCTCTTTTGTAAAAGCTACCTAAACTAAAATTATAGCTCAACGAAGTGGCTTATCACGTGGGAAATTTATAGGAGCCAAATACTCCAAATGCGTGATGTTGATTCTAAATGTGGGGGGAAAAACTAGAGGATCCAGAGAAAATCCACGCGACGACGGGGAGAGAGACACGCAAACTCCACATATACAGCAGCAGGCGTCAGGGTCGGGATCGAACCCAGGACCTCCTGTAAACCAGACGAGGTAGTTAACAACTCGCCACTGTGGCGCCCGATGATTCTGTTTCTGCGAATCCAAACAATGCGGTCAGCATCATGGATAGACATTGGATTCGCAGTCCGTTTTGCTGAATTTACTGATTGAGAATAGCATTCATAAAATTACAGTCGTTGGGATTTTTCTGGGTCAATATTTTTTCATATTTCACGTGTCCCATTTTTCATTTTTCTGGAAAGGAAATCTTTAACTTAAATGTTAACCCAATACACGACAGGCACAATACACGTAGATATCTTGCTGTGTAATGTTTCAATACATCATCTAACATAGAATTTTCACTGTAAGTTGTTTTATTGGGGTATGAAATATTTTGTGATTAGTTGAGCCTAGAATTGGGCATACTATTTTAGATATGCTATCTATATCCACTGGACGAACTCGGATGTCAAAGCCACCCATGAACACGTGTGTTATGTGTTCATGTGTGTGGGGAAGGAGTGGGGAGCGGTAGTGTAGCGGTTAGCGCGCTGCGCTACGGACCTGGCGACCCGGGTTCGATTTCCGCTCACGGCCAACACCAGTGGCGATTATCTGAACCGGTCCTGGGCCTCCCCTAGGTCAACTCAGCTTCGAATGAGTTCCTGGTAAACATCGCCACTAGGGAGACAAAGACGGCCAGCCATGGTGCTGGCCCACCCACCCCCTCGTGTGCCGTGCCGGCCTTCATTGGTGCTCGCTGACAGCACTTGCCCCAGCAGTCTGTTAAGGCTACACGGGAGATCTTTGCCTGCGTTATATATTGTTTGAAAACTGATTTCTTTACAACTGCTTTTTTTGCGTTTAATGTCTTGTAATTCCCCCGCACCTCCAATCGTCACGGTTGGCTACGTACGGTGCGAAAGAAGTCGAACGTGCACACACACAAAGACAAAGATCCCCAGTGTAGCCTTAACATACTGTTGGGGCAAGTGCTGTTAACGAGCACCTATGAAGGCCGGCACGGCACACGAGGGGGTGGGTGGCCAACACCACGCCCGGCCGCTTTGTTTCCCTAGTGACAGACGTTTACACACCGCACCAAGTACTCATTTGAGGCTGAGTCGACTTAGGAGAGGCCCAGGACCGGTTCAAATAATCGTCACTGGTGTTGGCCGTGAGGGGGAATCGAACCCGGGTCGCCAGGTTCGTAGCGCAGCGCGCTAACCGCTACACTACCCACACAAAGATAAAGATCCCCCATATAGCATCAATAGACTGTCGGGGCAAGTGCTGTTAGCGAGCACTTATGAAGGCCAGAACGGTACACGAGGGGGTGGGTGGCCAGCACCACGCCCGACCGCCTTTGTCTCCCTAGTGGCGATGTTTACACACCGCACCAGGTACTCATTTGAGGCTGAGTCGACCTAGGGGAAGCCCAGGACCGGTTCAGATAATCGTCACCGATGTTGGCCGTGAGCGGGAATCGAACCCGGCTCGCCAGGATTATAGCGCAGCGCGCTAACCGCTACACTACCGCTCCCCACACACACACACATACGCGCGTGCGTGCGTGCGCGTGCGTGCTTTTCTGTGCGCGTGCTCCGCAGTGGGTCACGGGCGGAGCACGCGCGTGCGCCTGGCGGACATCCACGTGGACATGCACGTGCGCGACTGCCTCCAGCACGTGCGACGCGTGCGTGGCACGCACCCTCGGCTGCCCTGCTTCCTGCTCGGACACTCCCTGGCAAGACGCGCGCGACGCGTCGCGCTCATCCACACAACCTCGGTGCCGGATTATCATCGTAGCAAAAGTAGCTGCATTTGTAGTAGCTACATGTGTAGTAGCTTGCATGTGTAGTAGCTGCACGTGTAGTAGCTGCACGTGTAGTAGCTGCACGTGTAGTAGCTGCATGTGTAGTAGCTGCACGTGTAGTAGCTGCATGTGTAGTAGCTACATGTGCAGTAGCTACACGTGTAGTAGCTACTACATGTGTGGTAGCTACTACATGTGTAGTAGCTACTACTTGTGTGGTAGCTGCATGTGCAGTAGCTACATATGTAGTAGCTGCACGTGTAGTAGCTGCACGTGTAGTAGCTGCACGTGTAGTAGCTGCACGTGTAGTAGCTACGGGCCCCGCACTTTCAAGAGCCCCGCGCTAAATGCTTTCAAGCTATCAATTCCGGTTCAGTGAATCTGCACTTGCTCTATTACTATAGTACTATACTGCCTTCAAGTTTATGAACAACTCGGTGTTTAAGGTTAGTGATTTTTCGTATTATCTGGCTGTATAAAAAATGAAAAAATACAATTACTTTACTATGCAATCTTGATTTACTATGCAAGTAAAAAATTTGTGTTTTAATATTTATAGGTTTTTGTTTTATTGAGTGCCCCTTTATAACATAATATGCTACAGGCCCCAGCACTCGCTTCATCCGGCACTGACACAACCCAACCCACGCACCCCACTCGCCCGTTCGGTCGCTCGTTCGCTCACTCACAACAGTATTTAAAACGACAATTTTTTTTTTATGTTACCACATGAAGGCCCACTTTTTCAGCAGCGATCTGGCCGTCACCAATGATTGCTGGACAAAGTGGCTGATGATCGCGTGGACATTTATCGCGGCCAGATATTCTCTCAAGCGCACGTCGATTCTAAATGTGCAGAGGGGGAGAGGGAGGGGGGAAACCGGAGGACCCAGAGACAACAATCCACGGGAGAGAGAGAGAGAGAGAGGGACACGCAAACTCCAAATATACGGCAGCATGGGGTAAAGGCGCTCGCTCGCTCGATCGCTCTCAGCTCACGGCACGCTCGCGAGTGATACTGATTGAGCTGTCGTGCCACAGGAACAGTATGTAGTCGTCTCACGGTAGGGGAGGGAAAGGGGGGGGGGGTGTGGCGGTGAGATATTGCAATGTGCGATTCCAATTGAGTTATTTTCAAGTAATTTTATTATATAGTTTTATTGCTCGGCAAATGTGTGAGGATGATGCCGGCACACAATGTGACTTTACCGAAAGAACCAAAGAGTAGGGGTCTTTACCGTCCACGTGTGAAGCAGACGGCACGCTGAGTATTTCATGGTTCACGCATCACCGGCGGCGATGACCAGGACGGCCCGTCAGATTCGAACTGCAAAGCTCTGCAGCAAACGAGCTCACGCGTTAAGCAATGCCCACGACAGCAGTTGTCAGCATAGTCGGCATGTTTTTATTTAGTTTCGTCTTTGTCTCGTCGGAGTATCGCATCTTGCAGAGTCAGGTTGCTTAAAGCAGAATCAGAATATGTATTTATACTGGAGGAATCCGATGAGCTATAACGCTCTTCTTTCATAGATGTCCAGTACGTTACAACAACAAACAATAGAAAAAAAACATAATAAGAGTGCAACGTATAGCAAAGGTGAACAAATCACTTTAAAATATATACAGATAAAACTAAACTCTGTTTACCTTACCATATCAAGCCATATTATTTTGCAGAAGCGAAATGGTCACAAGTAATAGCTCAACGAAGTGGCTTATCATGTTGGAGAACTGCCATGATGTTTTAGGCGAGGGCCCTCTTATTAGATACGGGTCGTAGTTCGACGCAGAATGAGTTGATAATACAAAACAATCATAGCTCCCCCCCCCCCTCCCTCCGTTATAGACGGACACACAGACACAGATACGTCGGCTGCACAGGTGAGGTGAGGGAGTCTCTGTGTCCCATACCTGTCAACCCACACAGTTTACCCTGGATTCTTGTACAGGGAAATGTAGTTATCAGGTCCATACGGCGTCCAGCCGTTTCAATATGGGTAAAATAATTAATGTTTGTGTCAATTTGTTTGTGTTTCTCCCTTGTGATGGGACTTTGTATGATGAACGTTGAGATTTATAAGAGCACCACGGGGTGACCAATAAGGTCTGAATTGGTCTGTAACAAGATAGGCACTGATAAGGGGTTGACAGGTGTGTGAATGTGTGCATCCACATATCAAGCAAGCAGCAGCAGCATGATGCAAGATCAGAGACAGTATAGCATGATGAGTAGCATCATTGACACCAATTATCAAAATTAATTTTGAAAAGCCTTTTGTAAAGTAAAATAATTTTGGTCTATTTGTTTGTGTTTCTCCCTTGTGATGGGACTTTGTAGGATGCACGTTTAGATTTATAAGGGAACCAAGGGGTGATCAATAAGGTCTGAATTGGTCTGTAACAAGGTAGGGCGCTGATACGGGGTTGACAGGTGTGTGGTGTCCCGTGTGTGTGCACAGGGCGGTGCCGTATCGGTGCTGGCGGCTTGCGAGCGCACGAATGAGTTCGCTGGGGTGGTGCTGATTGCTCCCCTGTTGAAGATGAGCGAGGAGTTCGCCACGCCGTGCAAGGTAGGTCTCATCCCTCCCCCCCCAGTTCCTCGTTATGATCCTTCGCTGTGCCGCACACAGAGAGAGAGGGCGGTGGGGTCCCCTTTCACTGCTGTCCAGCCGCACTGAACGCGCACAGAGCAACACAGAGAAGTGAACAACTCACATGGCCAAGGCAGCCTGCGGAGGGCTTAATCCAGCAATGGGTTGACACACAGCTGTGCAATATACTTTGCAATACTGAGCAATTATGTATATTGTGTATCTTACTTGAAACAGAAATCGTACTTGATACAGCAATCGTGCTGTGACGGTTCCACCTGAAGACGGAAGCTTGTGTTGCCTCCGAAACGTCGTAGATTTTTATTTTATTTTTGCCTCCGAAACGTCGTGATTTTTTATTATATTTTTAGTTTACTTTTATTAATTTTTATTTTTTTCCTACGTGACTTTACCGAAAAAACCTAAGAATATGAATCCTTGCAGTCACGAAAGCTTCAAATCTAGTTTGCTGCAACTTAACCGCCGTGTTCTTCACTCGTTTTCAGAAAGGAAGGTGGAGGGGTTGAGGGTGGATGTAAGGGCACTTTCGCTGATAAGTCATCATCTGCGTGAGGGCCGCAACAAAATGTGAAACCATTGTGGGAGTTTTACAGCAGCACCTCGATGCTGATGATGATGGTGGTGGTGGGGGGTGTTTTCACTTCTAGATTTGAAGCTTTCGTGACTGCAAGGATTCATACTCTTAGTTCTTTCGGTAAAGTCACGTAGGTAAAAACTGAAATTAAAATTAATAAAAACTAAAAACAATAAAATCACGACGTTTCGGAGGCAACACAAGCTTCCGTCTTCTTGTGAACAAAAGGCGGCTTAATCCTAGCTGGCTTATCTACATATGCCATCTACATTACAAAGGCGTAGTTCAAGCAGCAGTACCGATCATCTCATAACTCCTCCTCTCCCACGGCCCCTCCTGGCTCCTCCCCCCTTAACCAGTATATAAGGTCGTACCTCTTGTGACTTCTCTTCACTTGATACAGGTGTTTTCACTGTTTGCGCATCGTCGAGAAACCGAAGCCCGTGACCCGCGGGTCTCGCAATTGAAGAACCGCGGCGGATCGTTGTACGCTCTGCGTCGTTTCTCGCAGGTGCTCATGGCGAAGTTCTTCAGCTGCATTTGCCCAAACTTCCCGCTGGGCTCTCTCGACCCTTCCCTGCTCTCCCGAGACGCGAGAGAGGTAACATCATTCACCTGCGGAGGATGCTGCAAGTGGAACGGACAGCCGAGCAATTTTGATTTAAAGCTTTCGTGACTGCACGGATTCATATTCTTGGTTCTTTCGGTAAAGTCATCACGTAGAAGGGAAACAATAAAATAATGTTATTGTTTTATATTTATATTATTTTATTGTTTCCCTTCTACGTGACTTTACCGAAAGAATATCTTCCGATATTTGGAATCCACGGGAGCTGTGCACTTTTACATCATCTAAATTGACATCTCATTTCTTCAGAACTGATTGTTGTGTTTAGTTTGTTGTCCTTTGGCCGCACCTCCGATTAGCACGGTTGGCTACGTATGGTGCAAAAGAAGTGCAACGTGCGTACGTACGTACAGAACAAATATTAATTCCACCGTGAGAACAAATATTCAGGGAATTGACTACCGGTATTAATATACACCGCTACTGGCCCAGCACAGACAGCTCGGTGCAAAGTGGCCGTGAAAACGATGGCAGTGTGTGTCGGTGTGTGTCGGTGGGCGTAGGTGTGTCTCTGTGTGTCGGTGTCGGTGGGCGTGTGTCGATATGCATCGCTGTGGGTGTGGATGGGTATGTGTATCTCTGTGTGTGTCGGTGGTGGGCGTGTGTGTGTTGGTGTGTGTCGGTGTGGGTTGGTGTGTGTGTCTCTGTGTGTGTCGGTGTGGGTGGGTATGTGTGTCTCTGTGTGTGTCGGTGGTGGGCGTTCGTGTGTTGGTGTGTGTCGGTGTGGGTGGGTGTGTGTGTCTCTGTGTGTGTCGGTGTGGGTGGGTATGTGTGTCTCTGTGTGTGTCTGTGGTGGGCGTGCGTGTGTTGGTGTGTGTCGTCGGTGTGGGTGGTGTGTGTGTCTCTGTGTGTGGGGAGCGGTAGTGTAGCGGTTAGCGCGCTGCGCTATGAACCTGGCGACCCGGGTTCGATTCCCGCTCACGGCTAACACCAGTGACGATTATCTGAACCGGTCCTGGGCCTCCCCTAGGTCGACTCAGCCTTAAATGAGTACCTGGTGCGGTGTGTAAACATCGCCACTAGGGAGACAAAGGCGGTCGGGCGTGGTGCTGGCCACCCACCCCCTCGTGTACCGTTCCGGCCTTCATAGGTGCTCGCTAACAGCACTTGCCCCTACAGTCTGTTCAGGCTATACGGGGGATCTTTGTCTTTGTCGGTGTGGGCTGGCGTGTATCGGTGTGTCTGTGTGCGTGTGTGTGTGTCGGTGTGTGCGTGTGTGTGCGTGTCGGTGTCTGTGCGCGCGTGTGTGTGTGTGTGTCGGTGTGTGTGTGCGTGCGGCAGGTGGAGGACTATGCGTCGGACCCGCTGGTCTACCACGGGCGCGTGCGCGTGGCGTTCGCCGTGAGGCTGCTCCACACGGTGTCGCTCCTCGCGCGGCTCATGCCCAGCGTCTCGTGGCCCTTCCTGCTGCTTCACGGCAGCAGGGATCAGCTGTGCGACCCCGCGGGCTCCCAGATGCTGTACGACAAGGCGGCCAGCACGGACAAGACCATCAGGGTGAGGCACGACCTACTCTTAGCCCCTGGCTACCCTCACCTTCATCCATGTACCGTGTCCGGCCTTCATATGTGCTACTCGCTAAGGGCACTTGCCCCAACAGTTTGTTGAGGCTACACGGGGGAAGGACCTTTGCCTGTTGTGTGCGTGCGCGGCTCTTGCAGATGTACGAGGGCGCGTATCACGTGCTGCACCGTGAGCTGCCCGACGTGAAGGAGGCCGTGCTGCGGGAGATACAGCAGTGGATCGTGGCGCGACTGCCAGACTGAGATACCAGGTCACGCAGCCCTGCGCCCGCCGTTACCACCTGTCTCGATTTGACCTGGGAATTGACCCGGACGGCTGGGAAAATTGTCATCGGCGTTTGGGTGCCAGGGGATTGTGCGTTGGGCTTCGTTTCGCACCGTACGTAGCCAACCGCGCTAATCAGAGGTGCGGGAATTGATTCGTATCGAGGTCTCACGGCCACAGTGCACGGGCCAGAACAGAAATTCGTACCAGGTAATGTGGCAAAACTTTAAGCGTATCAATGTAATTTCCATTGCTAAATGAGAGTACATTATTTCATAGGTCGCTCATTCAAAGTGATTTTCAAATAATTTGCTGCAAAATGACCACGGAGGGATTTGAACGAGTTACACCGCCTCAAATATCTCAACCGGGCAAATGGACGAATGTTAATATATATTTGTTTTCTTTAAAAAAAAAAACTTCATTATCTCCTTGATTTAAAGCTTTCGTGACTGCAGGGATTCATATTCTTGGTTATTTCAGTAAAGTCACGTAGAAGGGAAATAATAAAATAATATAAATATAAAACATATATGTATATTATAATATAAATATAAAACATATATTTATATTATTTTATTATTTCTCTTCTACGTGACTTTACCGAAAGAACCAAGAATATATACATTATCTCAATGAAGGTTTTATCCATTTACAGCACCTCTTTCTTGAAGGCCCCACCTCTTTCTTAAAGGCCTCACACCTCTTTTGCTTGGCTTTCGAGGGACACCTAAGCTTGGCTACGCACCTCTTGGGTCCGAGCCACGATCATTCATGTCCGCGGAACTTCGGGCACACTCTGAATTGCACGATCGTTATTGCTTTTCTGATTACATCCATTGAAAGTTCTTGATGCGTCATTTTGAAAGTGGCGATGCTGATGTTTAAGATAAACTGGATGTTTGCATATCTTAGCCAAGTCGTCACACCATACCGACTCCTTCATCTTGGCGGTTCAAACAACCCATCCAGCTGGTGCTGGTGACAGACCTTTTGACAGATTTTCTCCCGTTGAACGTCTTTCAGGACCAGAAGATTCTGTCCGACGAAGAAGTGAATAACTCCTCCGGACACTTCAAGTACACACTCACGCAAAACAAGGTGTACGATCTGTTTGTATTTTTGTATGTACCTTCGCAATATATAAGCAATACGATATTTATCGATTACGTAGTAGGTGACGTTACAATTACTGTACTGTTCTTAGATAGACACGTAGGCATGTGCAGCTTTTACGATGTTTTAGTGAAATACATGGACTGCATATCTCATTGCCCATTTTTACACTACTTTTTTTTACACCTATGGCCCACTCCAGGCACTCAAGCCCACTCTTGATCGGTGTAACTCTGTCTCTTGAATGTATCTTATCGGATTGACCACAGCGTAGGGAACCCTCCGCGCGTGTGTTTTACGCTGTGTAATACTTCTAAGCGTCCGTTTGTTTGACAATAAAATAAAACACAGACTGTGCATGGACTGTGCAATAAAGGGTAAACCGGCACTGGCGTGGAATCTTATTTGCCGGATCCTTACGAAGGTTCGTCTTTCTGCGATCGTCGTGTGGACAGGAAGGGTTAACGGTGAATCAAGGTCACGAATTAAGCGCATTGTGACCTCTAATTGGCTTCAAGGGTCACAAGAACCCCATGAATGCAACATCATAATAATAATGATGTATTGTCAATTCACCGCTGGATGAAGGCCTCCCCAAACCTCCCAATGCAGTGATGGGTTATGGGGGAGGCGAGGGGGGGTTGACCATACTTCATCACGCTGGTCAGGGGACACATTCGAATATCACGCAGCACTGATGTTAGCCGTGGCCAGGAATCAAACGCAGACACGCAAATGGTTCATAGTCCCATGCGCTATCTACCGAACGTCTGCTCCCCCCCCCCCCCATATGGCAACGTACGATTGAATATCGGCTACGTTTCGATTCGCAATTTAATACGAATCGATTTCACCATCACACCCCGGAGCGTGCAGCGCCGCGCTTGCAAGGTGACTGCAACGTGTGCCACCCAGCCACGTGTGGCGAGGTGCTCCTCTGTGTGGTGGTGATAACTACTCGCTGTTCGCAAGCTGTGAGAGAGCGGATCGTAAACAGGGGTTGTCCCGCTCGTTTGAACGGTCAGGGTCAAATAGGGTAAGGTGGGATCCAAACGCCAGATTGGGAAGGACCAATCGGCAGGTTCCACAAGGTGGCCGGGGATTGGACAACGCGGCTACGAGCAGGTATAAAAGCCAGAGCGCTGGGAAGCTCTTGGCCAGTTCTGCTACACGAAGACCCAAGTCGGCCGAAGACATCTAGGACCCTGGACCAAGCCCTCCAGCCCTTATCAGGGCTAGGGCTCAGTGTTACCAGTGGTCGGGGGAGATTAGGTCCTAGATAGCTAGGACCCTGGCTCCCAGCCTTCCCGCCCTTGTGAGGGCGAAGGTCCTGAGCGACCAGAGGTCGGGGACCTGCCGGGCCAGTGGTGGTTCAGTGTGCCTCCCCTAGGTCCCGCCAGAGGACGCTAGGCTAGCAGGGAGATTAGATAGACAGCAAGTCCGGAGGCTGTACCTCCTTAGAATAAGAGCTAAGCGTGAGTGTGGAGCTGTACAAGGTCCGGAGGCTGTACCTCCTCAGGGTAACGGGTAAGGGGACCGTATACCCCTTTGTGTGATAGGGACTGTGTATTAAGACAATAAACAGTGTGTGCCATGAAGAAGTTTAGAAGTCCGTCCTTTACAACACTACATCTGCATGCCGTGGCTGACGCTTCCTGCACGGGACATTGCTGCCACCGCGCGTGTCGTCTCGCGCTTTGCCGCTGCGGTGTGCAACGTCGGCATCGATGGAAATTAACGGGACGGGTCCAAAGACTTCCTTGGATTCTGCATGAGCGGATCTTTTCAAGGCGATGGTGGGGTGTTTTTTTTATTGTTGTTCGGGCCGTTTTTTGTCCGTTGTTGAATCCGGCCTGTTGTGTCATAGCGGTGATATTCAAAGCGGAGACATTTGGTAAACAATTGTCTGAAACACGATTTGTATGTTTTAATGAAATCAACTTATTATTTAGCTATTGTTTTTTAAATTGATTAATGTAACAATGCATCAATTTTAAAACATGGGTACATAAACTGACATTTAAGGCCCGTACAATCCATCTCAGGCCCTACACTCAGTAGACCACCATCTCCTGCTACTGTAACACATTCCTGCGGAGGGAGCTGGTAGGAACACGTTGGGTTGCTCAGTCAATGAACAAGATCAACGGCGGCGTGGTGTATTCCGCAAATATGCCCGACTGTGAGGGCGGGCACAAGCCGGCGTGAGTAGGTTAAACGTTGAGTTTTATAAGGGCACCACGAGGTGACCAGCCCATCCCCACCCTTCCCACCCTCCACCCAGCTCCACCCTCCCCACCCAGTCCCTCTCCACCCTCCCCACCCAGCCCCTCTCCACCATCCCCAACCTCCCCACCCAGCCCCTCCCCACCCATCTCCCTTTCCCACCCTCCCCTCTCCACCCAGCCCCACCCCTCCCATTTTTGGATGCACGACGAATGGACGGACACAATAATCCCATGTGGGCTGGTGTAACCAGGAGGTTCCTACCAGTATAATAGTCATAATATTTGTATCTAGATGGTGCTTATACGATAATGGTTTGTTTTTAATATCGAGGCCTTTATTCTGGTCGGCATCTCTCACATCCCATCTCATCTCAAACGTTTGAAAGGGGCACCCCCAGAGGAAACTGTACCTGTGGACACAAGGTGACTTCAGCACCTCGCCTGCAAATAGACATTTGTCTGCCAGGAGGGGGCAATGATACATCAATATTTAAAACGCATTTCTTGAGAACTGCTTGTTTAGTTTGTGTCAGAGGTGGGACAAAGTCATTGTTATGCAAGTCCAAGTCGAGTCTGAAGTCATCAAATTCATGACTCGAGTCTGACTCGAGTCCAAGTCACATGACTCGAGTCCACACCTCTGGTTTGTGTTGTCCTTCAGCCACACCTTCAATTAGTACGGTTGGCTACGTACGTTGCGGAAGAAGTTCAACGTACATACGACCGTCGTCCTGCAAGGCCGTCTCGCTGGTGCCAGCGACAGACCCTTCGTGAGATGAGTTCCAACATCATGGATACATCTTCCATGACACCTTTGGCCGTGCCCCCTGTTTGTCTGAACCCCGACCTGGAAAGACGACGTGGGGGTTCATCTTCTTGGTTCTTTCGGTAAAGTCACGTAGAAGGGAAATAATAAAATAATAAAAATAAAACATTGAAAAAGAAATGTTTTATTATTACTTTGTTATTTTATTATTTCCCTTCCACGTGACTTTACCGAAAGAACCAAGAAGATGAATCCCTGCAGTCACGAAAGCTTTAAATCGAGACGTGGGGGGTCTTTTCTCAGAGATGTTCTAAATTAGTTTGATTAATGAAAATACCTTGATTTGTGATTGCATAAATGTGTATAGTTATTATGACTTGAATTATTATTCCAAGTGCTGAACTTGCTGTATATCAATGCTTTTTGGCAGATGTATTTTTTGACGTTATGCTCGCACCCACCAGAGGGAGCTGTACAATTGCAGTTGATATTTACATCCAGATATCGCTGCTTGCCAAGGGACACTGGACAGCCATCGCCTGCCGATGATGACGATGTGATTGGTGATACACATGCTGTAGGTCTATGTTTCACGATCTATGGACCGAGCCTTCACATACCTAGTTGGTAGCAGTCCACGGGTCAAAGTACCTCCGATTGTCTACGTACGGTGCGAAAGAAGTTAAATGTACATACAAAAACTGGTAACACCTGAGCTGCTGCAACTTAATACTGGTAGGAACCTCATGGTTACACCAGCCCACAGAGGATTCTTGTGTCCGTCCGTCCGTCGTGCATCCGAAAATGGAAGGGGTGGGGCTGGGTGGAGAGGGGAGGGTGGGGAGGGGCTCGGTGGGGAGGGTGGGGAGGGGCAAGGGTGGGGAGGGGAGGGTGGGGAGGATGGGGCTGGGTGGGGGGTGAGAGGGGTGGGGCTGGGTGGGGAGGGGAGGGTGGGGAGGGGCTCGGTGGGGAGGGTGGGGAGGGGCAAGGGTGGGGAGGGGAGGGTGGGGAGGATGGGGCTGGGTGGGGGGTGAGAGGGGTGGGGCTGGGTGGGGAGGGGAGGGGCTGGTCACCCCGTGGTGCCCTTATAAACCTCAACGTTTAACCTACTCACGCCGGATTGTGCCTGCCCTCACAGTCGGGCATATTTGCGGAATACACCACGCCGCCGTTGACCCTGGCCATTGACCGAGCAACCCAACGTTCCTACCAGCTCCCTCCACAGGAATGTGTTTGCAACCAATGGTTTCATGGGGTCGATAACAAGTGTTATTTATCTGGACATGAGACCCTTTAACGTGTGCCTGCTGTAAGTATTGCTTCCGTATTTAGTTCAGTCAGGTTCAAACTAAGTTTGAGGATCTGCTAATAAGAAAATAAAAAAACAGTAGTCCAATGGTCTCCCGGTAAACGTGAGATGTTGGGTTGGTACCAACGTCGCAACATGTTTTCACTTGGGCTGCCATGGGTGCTCAAGTGATATCGTTGCATCCATTACATTGAACGGTATTGAGAGTAGCGGTCACAGTGATGTTACTGGTGCCAAAATGACTCACTTGACCGTAACTTTAAAGTCTCTCCCCCCCCCTCCCTTACTCATGAAGTTTCAAATAAGCGTTGAACAGTCCATGTCATATTGCCCTATCGAGGGTTCAGTGATTCACCACTCCCCCAGTAATGTAACTAATTTCAACAATTCAGGGTCACAAAAGAATCAGTTACTGAAATGTGTTGAATTTAGCGGCCTCTAGTGACTGAAGGGGTCACGTGAACGCTTTACACAGCAACATACCAATCGATGATTACACAATTCCACGTACGTGTAATGACGACTTGCCACACTTATCTTGAGATGGCACTTTATTAAAGACACGTTCACTTGACATCAGGCAGAGACCCCCACCGTGACAGTCCCGAGTCTCGCACGCATCTCCCTTTTATATACCGACACGAGGCCACGCCCCCCTTCTCGATTATTCTCGCTGACTCTGGATGCTCGCTCCACCGGCAGACGCCACCGTCCTCTTCCATCACCTGACCACGCTCCCTTCTCGATCATTCCCGTTGCACTCACAGCTGACTCCTCTGTCATTACCTCCCGTGGCCACCAGTCCCTTCACACTCACAACTGACTCCCCTGTCATTACCTCCCGTGGCCACCAGTCCCTTCACACTCACAACTGACTCCCCTGTCATTACCTCCCGTGGCCACCAGTCCCTTCGCACTCACAACTGACTCCCCTGTCATTACCTCCCGTGGCCACCAGTCCCTTCGCACTCACAACTGACTCCCCTGTCATTACCTCCCGTGGCCACCAGTCCCTTCGCACTCACAACTGACTCATCTGTCATTACCTCCCGTAGCCACCAGTCCCTTCGCACTCACAACTGATACCCTCGTCATTACCTCCCGTGGCCACCAGTCCCTTCGTACTCACAACTGACTACCCTGTCATTACCTCCCGTAGCC